CCCCAAAACCCCAAAACCCCAAAACCCCTTCATTGAAAAACTCTAATCATATTGAAAGGACATAAGATAAATTAAGAAATTAAATAATATTAGTTAGCTTATTAATTTGATGTATAGATTATCTAACATCTCAGTGTTATTATGCTGAGTAAATAAGTCTTGAAATTCTAATACTGGGCTAAAATATATATGAGTCATAAGCCTCTGGAGTTCCATTTGAATCGAACGATTGGCCTAATCCTTTCATTTTCTGTTTACTTTTCAAGCCTTAAGTATTTCCGCTAGCAGAAAGCTCATCATGCTTGAAAATTCTACTGTTTGTTCTCTATCCACTAAACAATCGCATTTCAGATTATTAGAGCCATGGTGCTACTTGCATATGATCATCTTCTAGCTATTACTTTGGCTGTGAAGGGTTGAATTGCTAAAGCTATTTATTTTTATCTTGTTTCTTATTTTTACTACTATTGCCATTTGTATCATATATCGATTCAAGATTAAACTTGTTTTTGTTATTCTAATAAAAATAAGGTTGATCCATGCTCTATCTAAGTTTGGGCGATTTCCTTTTCTAAGTTATAATTAAACTATGCCTTCCTAAATCTTTAAGTTTATTATTGTGGTTAGAACTTATCATGGCTAGTTGGAAAAACTAACGCTTGAGCTTGTTCGAATCAACACTTGCTAGATTTGTCTTTGAAGCTCTAAAATTTCGATTTTATGTTATTTATGCTGAACTTAACTCAGGAGGGAAAGTTGGCTGATTCTATGATTGCTGCTTAATTTCAATCTAAAACTGCTATTTCTATTGCTGAATTTACAGTTAATTTTTAGCTTACTACTATTTTCTGTTTTGCTTATTTGTTTTATTAGACTTTTTAGTAATATCTTGATCCATAAACAATTTGATAGATTTCAACTATATCTATACACCTTAAATATTTGAGATTGGCGAACCATTTTTACTAAGTGACCTTTCCTTTAGGAGCAAAGATGGCTATCTATTTTATATTTCTCTATAAGTATTAAGCTTATATGGATTTTTATTAGTAGAGGGAGAATCTAAAGCTTTTCTTTGAATAAAAGGTAGTTTAAAAGAGCTTGATAGAGTCCAATTCATAAGTGTACTTGGTCCATCATTTTAGATGCCTTTATTGACCCTCTTTTTGCTGTTATTATCATCATCTTATGTAACATGGACTAAATCTTGGTTTAGATCTGACTTGTTGAATTAGTTGTTGTGCATATTATTTGCAACACTGTGATGCGTAGGAATATGTGAGCCTGTATTATAATTAAGACTATTTGTGTTGTAATTAATGCTTGTTGAGTAAGCTCCACTCATTTGATGTGTAGGACTTCTGATATTTATTGAGGTATGAGAATTTTAAGTCTATTAAGGTAATGGGTTGAGTGTAAGTCTAATTGTCTTTGCAATATTCTATCTTTTCTAGATCTTAACTATCTTTTTATCATCCTAAGGAATCTGCTGTTCTTTAGGATTCATCATAGTAATATTCATTAAGTTTTAATCGTCACTGTGGAAAATTTCTTGTGAAGGTGCTGTCAGATTCGTATCTTATTTTTCATTCTCAATTGATTCCAATGATTTTCTAACTCTATCAATCAGCTGGTTCTTATTGTAGTTTCTGGAATAATTTTAGAAAGTAACATCAGAATCTATAGAACTTGATTAAAAGGTTCTCCGAGCAAGAGCAACATCAAGATTCCTGATATTTATTAATCTCTTTTAGGATACTCATGTCTACATTGGCTCTTGAAATATAATAGAATTAGTTGTTGATGTAGGATGATTATCTCGAAATGAAAATAGACCAAGTCCCAATGATGGATTAGTATATTTAAGGTTCTTAAGATGTCTAGATCTATTATGAACTCCCAATTTATGTTCGAGTTAGCTTTCTCTGAATCTATATAACTCTGTTGCATTAATTAAATTTTCCATGTTAAATTAAATTAAATTCCTTAATAAAATAAATAATCAATCTTTATTCATGCAACTCTCCGAATTAAATATATAACCATCATCAATACAATCTCATTACATTTGTTGCAGGGGGTTTTATATAGCTATTTGAAAGACTACCTATAGGGCTTATAGGATTGCTAAGATATTAATTAGTATTTGGGTTTTCATTTGTTATTTTATGATTAAGAACATTGATGTGGCCACTTGGACTGCCGTTTAGAATAGTATTTACAGAGGTGTGCTTACTTAGACTTGCATTAAAACTTCCTCTGTCTCCTAGAATGTTACTTTACATGTTTTTCATCCCAATGTCTAGGATAGCTGACTCTATTACATTATTAAAATGACTAAAATACACTTACTTCTTAATTAATTTGTGTCAAGAGCCCCTGTTAAATTATACTTAACATTATCTGTACTATCTCCCTAGAAAATGATTGGATCCTTAGCGCCTCTAGCAGTCTAATTACCTGTATTGATCAAACTTGCATAATCTCGGTTGTACCCATACTTATCAAGCCTCTTCAAGTTTTCTTGCAAACTTTTCTCTCTTTTATCTTTTGTTTCTGGCCTCTCTGTGAAGTTAATTTCCTTACTCTAGATAGTCTTAAAATTATTAAGACCTGGTATGAGAGAGTTGTAAGTATGCTTGAAATTCTTATATGCTTCAAGATCATCTTTATTCAGTTATTTTTCAACATTTGTCATGTTACCATAGACTCACAGAGAGTTTCTTACATTTATTTGGTTATCCAGCATTTCCTTATAAGTAAGCTATCTCTACTTATTTACTTTTTGCTTTAGCTCTTCAAAATTCTTGTGATCATGCACCTTAGTTTCACTCTCCTCTAATTCGATATGCTTCATCTCTTTTCCTAAATATTTAAGTTTTTCCCTATCCTCAAGTTGCTTTACCAGTATTTATCGATTATTTTACGCAAAATCTCTCTGTAGTTATTATTTCATTTCCTCAGTCATTTTGGCTTGATTCCTTAGCATTTCATTTTACTTTTGTATCTTCTCTTATTCTTCTATTCTTCGTTCTATCTCTGGAGCTTTTACAGTTGAAAGATAATTATCATTTATTTACTTTTGCTAATCCTGCATCGAATCATACCTTTATTTATACAATCGTTAGGCATCTAAAGATACCTATGAATTCTCAGCCATTAATTTCTAAGCATCCAGTTTTTATTAGTCTCTCATAAGAAGATCATAAGTAATGTTACCCTTTCTTTGACTAATATCCTACTAATACATGTCTTTTATCATTTATTTCTTGGCTAAATCCATTTACTTAATTTATTCCATTTCCTATTGAACTCTCATATTAGCTATTTTACCTTCTGACAATTCCTACATTCTTTTAGACCTATTTTCATTTTATCGAATACTCATGTTTTATCTGTAATCACCAGCAAGTAGCTCTTTGATATGATATTATTGGTTCTTAAATCCATTGAGCATTGTATCATACTCTTATTTTTTTCGATTAGCTAACTCTAGATCATTTTACTTTTCGCACCTTTCAATTTCTTTTTGCTTTTCTTTAAGCGCTTTTTCATGTTGAAGTTCCAAACCATAAAATTATGATTGCTATTTTTCCTGAAGTTTTTTTTATTCTTAAGCTCTTTGATAGTTATCAACTTATTAATTGACGATAGCCCCCCATTCATCAATATTTCCCATTCTATCCATAGGATAGTAACGCTTAGATGCTGCTATTAAATCTTAAATGCTCTATGATTTTTCATCCAAAGGCTTTTTAACACCATAAGCTCCTAATTTCAAAGGATCAACCTAAATATATTATTGTTAATAAGTTAAGTCTGCTGATTTTAAACTGATATAGGTCATTTCTCAATTGAACTTACGAGATTTGTCATTTTTTATGCAAATTATTACTAATTAAATATTGATGAAATTAAAATTAAAGCAAATTAAATTATTGCTAAAGTATTAAAAATAAATATCAAGAAATTCTATTATCTCTATTTTATCTCCAATATTGGCTGTTGAAATGATTCACTTCATACTCTTGTTTTAATCTTTATTGCTCCAGAAGTCCCAGTTATCTGACACGTACTACTCATACTTGAAATATTTTACCTGAGCTATTTAATTTTCAAGATCAATAGGATCTACTTTGATTGATTCACTTGAATTATGTTGCTTTTTCCATTCTGAGATGATTTATTCAGATATCAAATCTTTTATTACCTCATCTATTTCCTCCTTAGAGACTGATTCACCCATCTTTTGCAATATTTTCTTCATCTCGTCTACCGCAATGCAGCCATTTTTCTCCTTATCATAGACTTTGAAAGCTTCTATAAGTTCCTCTTTGACATCTAACTCCTATAGTCTCTTTTGCATTAATGTCAAAAATTCATCAAAGTCTATAGTGCCACTTCCATCCTCGTCAGCCTCCAAGATCATTTGGTTTAACTCTTATTCGGTTATATGCTATCCAATATTCTTCATCACAACTCCAAGTTCCTTGGCTGATATTTATTTATCGCCATTTTTATCGAAAAAATCGAAAGCAGCCTAAAACTCTGCTCTTTGCCCCTCGCTAAAGTTATGTGACATTCTTAATTATATAATTTTACAATATTATGCTATTTAAATTTTAAATCCAATTGCATAATTAATTGCATTGCGGGGTTTTGGGGTTTTGGGGTTTTGGGGTTTTGGGG